TCAGTCTTGTGTCCCTTTTGCCCAGCTACAGGAGAAGGAGGACTGGTGTCTAGTTGCCCCAGGGGAGGTTGAGTTTGGAATTAGGGAAAATTCCTGCAGGACAGTGTTTTCAATCTCTGGCAATGAGTGCCCAGGACAGTGTGCAGTCAGCATGCCAGGATGGATTTAGATGTCATTGAACTGTGTCATTTGGGAACTGGCCTAGTGGGGCCCTTGGCAATGCTGTGGGGAAGTGTTGGACTTGATATTTCCCATATGGGTGTATAACAGATGAAATTTTTAAAGGTTGGTGGCCTTGACATTGCTTGGTTAACATCTGGACTGTATGTCCAAGGTGTTTTCCAGCTGAATGGAATGCGGTGACTTCTGTGCAAGGCAGCAGGGGCCAAAGTGGAGTGGCAGCATGGTAGAAGAGAGCCTGGGCTTTGGGATCTGAGTTGTGTCAAGTGCCAAGGGGTGAAGCCACTTCAGGCTGGAGGATTTCCCTTGAGGAGATGGTGTTTGAGCTGTGTGTCTGCTCTGTTGCAGTGACTCAGGCTGGGCATGAGGAGAGAGCTGTGGCTGCTGTTGAACTCCAGCCTTTTGTGGAGCCTCGGAGGCTCCTTCCAATTCCTTGTTCCCAGTGTGTCTCTGTTTGCTGAGGAAGCAGTGAGTGGCCTGAGAGTGGCTCAGAGGCTGGACTCAGAGGTTCTTAATCAGTGGCCCAAAGTCCAGATGGAGTTAAGTCTCAAGGGAAGTAGGTCAAGAGTTGTACCCCTGAGGCCAGCCCTATCTAATCTCCTCAAGAAAGATGTGGGCAGTAAGACAGTTGTCCCCTCAGCAAGTTGGCCACTGAATGGAGAGGCTGAGGCAGCACTTGATTGTGCCAGCAGTCAGAGGGAGCTGGAGATGGAGGGTTAAAGGCATCTCCAGAAGCTCAGGAGGGGAAAATGTGAAGTTGTGCATGTGGGCAGGAATGGCAATGGGCCCCAGGTCATGCTGGGGTCTGTGAGGCAGAGCAGGGATGTGGGGGTGTGAGGGGCAGTGATGCAGGAGGGTGAAGGAGTATGGAGGCTGTTGTGGGACTGTTGCGAGGCGTGAGGGCTGCTGAGGCTGAGGCTGAGTGTGCTGGAAGAGATGGGCCAAGGTTGCAGGAGCAGGAGTGTGAGGGGCTTGAGGCTCACCTGGTAGTCTGCAGGAGCAGGTGGAGAAGGTGTCAGGAGAAGTGTGTGAGCGAGAGGCTCTGGTCTGGCTTTTATGCTGGTTGTGGATGGGTGGGACAGCCTTGTCCCATGGCCTTGGGGCATTTTTGAGGCAGCAGCTCTTGGCTGGCCCAGCCTGGTGAGTCATGAGTTGGGGAGTGTGTTCCTTTATGCAGTTCTGCAATTCCATGTCCAGCTGTTGATGCTGCATCCATCTGACCTTGGCGGCAGCTTTAGAGTGAGAGTTAGCGTTTGGGAGGATGTGATTGTTCTGTGTTTGTCAGGGAGAGCTGAATAAACAACCAGAGCCCAGGAGCGGTGTGATGTCATCAGTGCAGTCATTTTGTGGCACTCATGTGCTGTGGTTTGCAAGTGCCTTGTGAAGACTGGACTCATCCCTTTGTGTCTTGAATGAGATCAAAAGAGAGAAACCGGAAAACCAGGTCCTGGTCAGGATGGATTTGCTTTATTTATATGGTCCATTTGGATTTCAGACAATTACATGACAACAAACTCTTTCATTTTAAGTTTATATCTGAACATCACTAAGAAAACAAAAATATCCACCAATCAACAGTGTCTGATCCTTTTTTTTATCATAGCTGATCTGTTACTTCAATTCTGTTATTCTGCATTCAAGCTGTATGGTTTCATATCTTCTATTCCTTAAGTCTTAAAACTGTGTTTCTGTTAGCAAAAAAACAATAATTACTGCCTGATAGTGAGCATGCTCCTCTTTCCTTCTTTGTTGTGATATGGGCATTTCTTCATTAAATTCTACCATTCCATGTCATTCTCTTGAGGACTTATCCATCTAACCTAGACAGCAGCTTTTCAGCGCAAGTTGTTATTTGAGGTTTGCATGGAAGATGGGTGTTAGACTGGGCTCAATAAACAGCCAAAATTTAGGAGAATTGTGAATGACTCCATGATGCTCTTGTGCTGTGGTTTGTGGCTGTGCTGTGATGAGGAGCCCCATTCTGTCCCAGCCCTGTCAGGCTGTTTTAGGATTTACAGATGTGCTGAAGGTGTTGCCTCTTCCCTCAAATTCCATTGCTCCCCACCTTGATCCCACCTGGCTAAGCCTGACACTAGACCTGACTTTTCCTGTTCACTCTACTCTGTGGATGTCTTGGTGCCCTTCTTGCTTTTAAGGTTTTGTTATGCAGGGTGATTTACCTCCCAATTTGGGCTGAGAGCAAAAGGCTCAGACCACTTGTGGTAGTCAGAAAGAGGATTGAGAGCACACCCAGGGTTGCTGCAGGTGAGCATTTTATGATCTTTGACAACCAGACAAGTCTGGGTTGTGTCAGGGCCCAGCATGGTGGCCTGAGAAAGGTCTTAAGGGCTGGACCTGGAGGGTTGTGGTCAGTGTCCTGAAGTCGAGATGGCAGCAAGTTCCCAGTGCTGTAGCCCCAGGAGCTGGATCCATTGGGGTAACTCTGAAAATCTGGTGCTGAAGCTCAGCAAGGGCATCCTGTTTGTTGGTAGGAGTCATACCAGGTAGGAAGGAATGTATGAGTATCAAATGTAAGAATAGTTTTCTTCTGAGAAATCGCCCTTGTGTTTCTGGGTGAGAAAAAGTGGAGCAGGAGGTGTCCCTGTATCATTTTGGGAAAAGGGACCCCAAGTCTTCAGGTCAGTGATGGAGAAGGAAGACTTGCACACCAGATGATGAACAACAAGTCTCAGAAGTTTATTGAATAGGCACACACATTTATAGCAGTGTTAATAAGGCTAATGCATATTGCAAAAATTGAGCTCATCATTGGTTAGTCATTTATCAGTCAACTACATCTACGTTTACATTCTTGTGTTCACCTTGTTATGGTTTCTCCTATCGTTCCTTCATTCTTGCTAGCTAACGAACCTCTTCCACAACCTCAAGTTTCGGCAAAGGCACAGTGACCTTGCCACTTTTAGACACTGATTTCTGACTCCTATCCTCGTCTCCTTCTTGCTTAACTAACGGTATTATTCCAGCATGATCTTTGTTAGCTAGCTAACTGTCTACAAAATCCTCTACATTTCCCCTGTTTGTATCTCGGGCAGATTAATCTGGCTGTGACCCTTATCCAGGAGCCAGCTTGTTACAAAGTTCTCAACAGGTCAGGATTGGGAAAAGGGTTCCAATGGAGGGGAAGTGACTCTTGGTGTCTCCTAAGCACTGCTGAGGTCCCATGTGAGGAGTTCTGAGCAGTTCTGGGCTTCCCACATGTAAATGAAGTAGATTTAGTGAATTGACACCAGTTCAGGGCTGAAAATATTCTAAAGGGCCTGGAGGATCTTTTTCAGAGCAGAGGCTGTGAGAGCTGGGACTCACAGGGGACAAAGCTGGACAGGGGGTGTCATCAATGCTCACAAATTCCTGACTGCAGAGAATGAAGTCGAGGGAGGCCAGCTGTTCTCAGCAGTGCACACATGCAGGACAAGAAGGCAAGGGCACAAGTGAAAAAAGATGAAATTCCGTGGGAAAGGCAGACAAGCCTTTTTCAGTACGAGGTTTTTCCCAGAGTAAAAGAAGTGGTGGAATATCTGTTCTGGGGAGCCAACTCTGAACTGTCCAAGGTCCTGGAAATCTGGCTTTAGCTGACTATGATCGAGCAGAAGAGAATGAGGCAATTGCACTCCAAAGTTCCTGCCTAATTGGATGATGTTGCTCCTATTTTTGGGGAGAGGGTTAGGGAGTCCTGCTTGGAAGAGAGATTGTCAAGTATGTACCAGCCCAGAGATACCTGAAGAGAGCCATGAGCAAGAGAGATTTGTTGTATGCAAGCTTTTGTTGTAGTAGGTGATGGGTTTGTGCCTCGCCTCAATCCCTGGTCCCATACCAGTCTTGATATTTACTAGTGGTGATGTATTTTATAAGAAAGGTTTGAGACCTTTTACCATTCAATAGTCTGTTTATTCCTGGCACTGTGTTGGGTAAGGAGGTGAGACCACTGGAATTCAGAAAGATGAGGAGACACATCAGGCTTTGATGCAGGTAATCTTTACTAAGAAAAAAAAAACCCAAAAAAACAAGAGACAGGAGAAAGTATTTGAAAGGATATAGTCTGAGGTAGAAGTAGGGCAACCATCAGCCAAGGTGCTTTCCTTGCAGGAGCTGCTGCCACAGCACCAAGGTGGTTGGTGTCAGGGGTGGTGCTGAGGGCCCTTAGCAGATGGAGCCATAGCCCCTTCTGCCATAGCAGCCCAGGCCTGCCAGCCCGTAGCCAAGGCCAAAGCCAAATCCACCAGAGATGGGCTGTCCCTGGGCATTGAGCTCAGTGCCCAGAGCAGCGGAGGAGGTGGATCCGACAGCGGTGCTCTGGGGGAAGGAGGTCATGATGGGTCCTGGCAGGGTGACCAGCACAGGGGAAGGGTTGATGATGACGCGGGAATCCTGGCATTGCAGGGCACAGGGCTCGTTGCAGCTGTTGGCCAGCGGGGTGGGTCCACAGGGTCGGCAGATGTTGTTGCAGGCCATGGGTGTGGTGTGGAGGGTGCCTGGAAGAGAGAGGATTGAGGCAAGGTAGAGGTGTGGGGGTGGAAGGGACAAAGTATCAGCAGGGTGAGGGAGTGTGGAGGTTGTTGTGGGGCTGTGGGGAGGTGTGAGGGCTGCTGAGGCTGTGGCTGAGCGTGCTGGAAGAGAGGGGCCAGGGGTGCAGGAGCAGGAGGGTCAGGGGCTTGAGGCTCACCTGGTTGTCAGCAGGAGGAGAAGGCTTCAGAAGAAGTGTGTGAGGGAGAGAGGCTCTGGGCTGGCTTTTATGCTGGTTCTGGAGGGGTGGGACAGCCTTGTCCCAAGGCCTTGGGGCATTTTGGAGTCAGCAGCTCTTACCTGGCCCAGCCTACTGAGTCATGAGGAGTGAAGTGTTTTTCTTCCCACAACTCTGCAATTCCATGTCCAGCTCTTGAGTCAGTGTCCATCTGACCTTGGCAGCAGCATTCAGTCAGCAGTTGGTATTTGGGAGTATTTCTTTATTAAATGTTTGTTAAGGGAGGACTGAATAAGGAACCATAGCCCTGGAAAACAGCAATGTCATCAGTGAGGTCATTTTGTGGCCTTTGTGTGCTGTGCTTTGTCGGTGCCTTGTGAAGGCTGGGACTCTCTTCTGTGCCACCAGATGTCCATCAGTCATTGTGTTGCATCCAGGAATGTTGAGAGTGCTGCTGATGTCCTGGGAATGTCACTGTGTTGTAGCTTGGAAAGGTCACAGTGCTTGGGAATGCCTGATAGATTAAAGAGAGCTTGTGGCATTCTGTCTTGAATGCAATGAAGGGAGAGCATCTGGAAAAGGAGAGGCTGTTCAGGCTGAACTTGTTCCAATGTTATGAGCCTTTTGGAATTCTCAACTCTACCTGATAACGTACTCTGTCATTTAAATTGTATTCCTTGACCTCATTAAGAAACTCATTAAACAAACAAGAAACGGGTTCCCAGGCAGGTCTGTGACATCAGTTGTCTTATTCCACATTAAGGTCATATGGTTTCATAACTTGTATCCTTTCAGGCTTAACATTGTGTTCCTGTGAGCAAAACCCAATAATTACTAGCTCTGGTCAGCAGCACCATCTTTCTTTCCCTGTCATGGTGCAGGTGTTTGTTTTTGGAATTCTGTTAGTCCATGTACTTCGCTTGAGTCCATGTCCATCTGGCCTTGGGGCAGCTTTTAAATGTGACTATTAGAGGTTAAAGACTGGTGTTGATGGTGCATGTCAGGGTGGGGTGAAAATGTAACCAAAGCTTGGGAGGGGTGGGGTGTCATCTCTGATGTCACCCTGTGATACTGGTGTGCTGTGGTTTTTGTGTGTGTTGTGAAGAGGGGCCCCATTCCCAGCCAGCCATGTCAGGCTGGTCTGGGCTTTGCAGATCTTCTGGGGCTGAGGGTCTGCTCCTTCCAGTGCATTCCTGCCTGCCTTGGGTCCATCTCTCCTGCCCAGTCTGTATGCCAGGCTTTCTCAATGGAGATGGGAAAGCAATTCCTGAGATTTATGAAGGTCATCCAAGCTCCACAAATCCAGTGCTGGTTGATCTGTAGCAGTTGTCTCAGCTGGGTCCAGCATGGTCACAGTGCCAGGTTCTGACTGACACATGGAAAGGAAAACAGCTGAAGTATAAGGAGAACAAGACAGGTGAGGAGAAGTTGAAGGAACTGGGGATGTTCAATTTTCAGAAGAAGAGGATTGACCTTATTGCTCTCTGAAATTGTCAGAATGGAAATTTTTTAACACCTGTCTTGTCTCCCTTTCATCAAACTGTGGAGTAGAGGGAATGAACTTTAGTTTCCCTAGTGGAGGTTTACTTTCCTATAAGGGAAATTTAATTCACGAAAACACAGGACAACCAACACACTGAAAGGGCTGGAGAATCTGTTGTGGAGGAGAGGCTGGGAGACCTTGGACTCCCAGGAGATGAGGATGGACAGTGGGGTGTCATCAATGTAAGAATATGCCAGATGGCAGGGTATGAAGTCGAGGGAGTCCATTTATCCACAGTAGTGCAACTATGTAGGAAAAGAAGGCACGGACAGAAGTGAAAACAGATGGAATTCCATGGGCAAAAAAGGGAAGAAGTTTTCAATGTGAGGGTGGACAGAGAATGGAAGACATGGTGGAGTCCCTGTCCTGGGAGAGCAAAACCTGAACTGTCCATAGTCCTGGAAATCCCACACTTGTTAGTCTTTCTTGAGCAGAGGGGAATGAAGCACTTGCAGCCCAGAGTTCCTGCCCAAGTGGATGATTTTGTGACTCTGCTGAGAGGGTTCAAGAGTTCTGCTGGGAAGAGAGTTTGTCAAGTGTGTGCTGGCATGGAGACACTCTACCAGAGCTGTACTCAGGAGACCATCAATGTGTCAGAAGACTGGTGTAGCAGGTGATGAGCTTGTGCCAGGTTCTGGAAGGTCCTTGCAATCCCTTGCTTCCTGTGCCAGTCTTGGTTGTTAATGGTGGTGACATATTTAATAAGAAATGTGTTAGGCCCCTTTTCCGTTCACCCCAATGCTTTGTCTGACACTGTGTGAGGTGAGGATCTGAGACAACTGAAATTTACAAAGATGAGGAGACATGTCAGGCTCTGATGCAGGAAAACTTTATTGAGGCAAAAGAATTAAAAGGCGGGAGAAAGAAGCAGAAGTGATCCAGTGTGAATTGCAAGTAGGAAGACCATCAGCTGAGGGGCTTTGCTGGCAGGAGCTGGTGCCAGAACCCCAAAGTGGTGCCTTTAGCAGGTGTAGCAGCCGCTTCTGCCATGGCAGCCCAGCCCGTATCCAAATCCATGGCCGTAGCCAAGGCCAAAGCCAAATCCACCAGAGATGGGCTGTCCCTGGGCACTGAGCTCAGTGCCCAGAGCAGCGGAGGAGGTGGATCCGACGGCGGTGCTCTGGGGGAAGGAGGTCATGATGGGTCCTGGCAGGGTGACCAGCACAGGGGCAGGGTCGATGATGACGCGGGAATCCTGGCATTGCAGGGCACAGGGCTCGTTGCAGCTGTTGGCCAGTGGGGTGGGTCCGCAGGGTCGGCAGATGTTGTTGCAGGCCATGGGTGTGGTGTGGAGGGTGCCTGGAAAAGAAAAGGGTGAGGCAGGGCAGGGGTGTGGGAGTAAGTGGGATGATGAAGTGTGGAGGCTGTTGTGGGGCTGTGGGGAGGTGTGAGGGTTGCTGAGGCTGGTGCTGAGCATGCTGGAAGAGAGGGGCCAGGGGTGCAGGATCAGGAGGGTCAGGGGCTTGAGGCTCACCTGGTTGTCAGCACCAGAGCAGAAGGTCTCAGAAGTGTGTGAGGGAGGGAGGCTCTAGGCCGGCTTTTATGCTGGTTGTGGAGGGGCGGGACTGCCTTGTCCCATGGCCTTGGGGCATTTTGCAGGTAGCAGGTTCTTCCAGGCCCAGCCTGGCAAGTCATGAGGTAGGGAGTGTTTTCCTTCCCACAACTCTGCCATGTCATGTCTTGCTCTAAGGAGACCATGTCCATCTGACCTTGGTGGCATCTTTAAAGTGAGAGTTGATATTTGGGAGTATTGGCATGGAAAATGTGTGTCAGAGAAACCAGAATATGTCAAAAAAAGTCTAGGAAAACTATGGGTGTCATCAGTGAGGTAATTTTGTGGCACTTGTGTGGTTTAGCTTGTGGGTGTGTTGTGAAGAGGGGCCCCATTCCACCGCAGCCATGTCAGGCTGGTGTGGCCTTTGCAGATGAACTATGCATGAGGAACTGCCCCTTCCATCATGGTCATTCCTCTTCTAAAATGTGTGCATTTGAGACCAAAGTCTGGTGTTGATGGTGTGTGTCAAAGGGGACTGAAGATGTGAGCAATATTTTGTAGAGGTGGGGTGCCATCAGTGGGGTCATCCCATGGAACTCATGGTTTTGTGTTTGTGGTTGTCTTGCGAAGAGGGGCCCCACAGTATCCCAGGTCAGTCAAGCAGGTCTGGGATTTGCATCTGTGCCAGGTGTGAGTGCCTGGACTCTTCTGTTCCATGTGGGCAGTAGGAAAGTTGCCCCCTCAGCGAGCTGGCAGATGATGGAGTGTCTGAGGCACCGCTCGGTTGTGCCACCAGTCAGAGGGATCTGGCGACTGAGGGTAAAGGGAATCTCCTGCATTTCAAGAGCAGGAAATGAGAAGTTCTGTGTCTGGACAGGAATGGCACTTAGCCCTGTGTCATGCTGTGGGCTGAGAGTCTGGAAAGCAGCTTTGCTGAGCAGGACCCTGTAGTGCCCGTGGGGCATGAAGAGAGCACAAGATCACAATGAAACTTTAGATGAAAAGGCATCATCAATGTCCAAGACAGATTTCAGACAATTCTTGCCATGAAGTTGGGAGACATTGACCATTCTCTCTTTGGAGCTCTAAGTGGGTCCCATGTGGTGTGGTTTGGACAGTTCTGGGCTCCCCAGTGGAAGACGCCTATGGACTTAGAAACAAAACCAGTTTGTGGCCAACAAGATTCTAAAGGTGCTGGGAGATCTTTCACAGATGAAACTCAGAGAGCTGTGACTCCTAAGAGACAAGGATGGAGAGAGGCATGTCATCAGTGAGTGCAAATCCCTGATGGTAGGGAATGAAGATGAAGGATCACAGCTGTCCTCAGCTGTCACTATTGGATACGAAAAACATGACATGAACACGCTGCTGTTTTCAAGGTAAAAAGAGGTAGGTTTATTTTCTGATTCTAACATTTATAGATTTTCAAAGGTGACAGTGGATTGGAAGGTGAAAATGCCACCTCTCCAATGATACTGGACAAACCAACAGTCAGTAAAATCTTTCTTCTTCCATAAAAGAATGTGAAAGAATAAGTTATTTACAGAAAGTGTGTGAGAAAGTTTGCTACAAGAATGTAAACATCAGAAGGCTTAGAAAATCTTAAAAAATCAGGGCAACACTCAGCAGTGCATATGTGAAGGATAATAGGGCAATGACACAAGTGAAAACAGATGTAATTCCATGGACAAGGAAGAGAAGCATGTTTCAGTGTGAGGGTGGTCACAGAATGG